GAGAAATTGCTTTTATTATAATTTTGGATTCACTAACTTCTTTCTATTGAGGTCAAGGAGTCCTGTCTTCAAAAGGTTTGGGTGGGAAAGAAAAACTTTTTCTGTGATGGACCAAGCTGGATGTACTGCTAAGCTGGTGGCAGTTTCTCACTTCTAAGGGGTGGCTGGGAGCTTGTAGTAAAAAGTCAGTTGTGGTGGTCTATGAGGACATGGTTTTGCAGACCCCTCTTAATTCCTGTAACAGCTGCTGGAGAATACATAAAAGAGTTTCAGAGATCACTGGTCCTTTTTAGGTCCATCACGGAACAGGAACTTCTGGTGCTTGTGTGGTCACTCCCTTCTTGTACTCCCAGAAAAAGAGGACTGGTCCCAGAAAGCCAGTGATGACCAAAGAAATTATTTTCATGCTTGGTAATCTAAGACATGAGCTGCAACTGCAGCCTGATGACTGAATTTTGCTCATAGGACAACTCCAACTGGACCACTGCCCTTCCCTATGCCTACAAGGGACTCTCATTTTTTGGTTGCAGGGAATCAGAAGTTTTGGTTCACAAGTCCTTGTTCCTCTGCTCCTTCTGTCCTTCATGAAAGGGGTCCCTCTGAAGCAATGAGATAGCCCTTTTCCATGCCCATGATGGCAATCAAAAAAATTCTTGCTGAGTCACAACCCCAGTTAAACTGTGTTCGTGTCCGAGAGCCCCAGGGAGCTGTATGAGCTTTGGAGCAATGGTCTGCGTGGGGCCCAATTCACCCCTCATACTTTTTCAAAGGCTTCATACCTTTTCACAGGGGAAGAAAAGGGCACTGGTGATGCACAAATAACTGAGCACTCCTGCAGCTATGCTCTGTACTTATTGAACAAACACATCACAGGCAGCAACTGGGAAATCATGAGCAGGTGTATGAACTGGAAAGCAAAACTAAACATCTGTACCCTCAGCAATGAAACTGCATGGAAAACCTGGGAGAGGATCACAAATATTTACCACATGGCTAATGACATACAGAAAATTCTGGCAGAGTTCTTAAGAAAGATGAAAAAACCTCTAAAATAAAGCTTCTGTCAGCCTCAAAGGTGATATTATATTTAAACCATACAGATGCATTAGATTAATAGTTAGAAGCAAGTCAACAAGTTGGGAAACACGGCTAGAGCTTTTGTTTAAAAACACAGATAGTCCTGAGGGAGAGTGGAATTGAGTCAACAGAGTTGTAGGAGACTGGACGGGCTCCTGCAGTAAGCGGTTCAGAAAATAGGAACTTCTGAGCCACATTTTGACAGGTACTTTTAACTACCCTTAGGACTAGACTTGTAGGCTGCCCACCATCTTCAGGCAGAGGCAGTGCTGCACTCCAGGGCACAGGATGAGGCCATTCCAGGTCAGGCAGGTAGGCTTGGAGTGGATGGTTGTCCTCAGGCACACTGCACTCTCTAATCCACCTCCAGCCCTCAGCTGGGCAGCAAGGGAGGTCAGATCAAGGGCAACTCTCAAGGCCCCAGTGAAGGAGGGATTTAGAAGACGATGAGCCTGGCAGTACACAGATATAGAATAGAAAATGTTTTCGGTAAGGATAATCAAAACCTTACTTTTCCTACCTCATATCTGCGAGTCATAAGCTTTTTGTTACGTGACTGATCAGCCCTGACAGAAGCATCTGCATTGGAGATGTCTTGACACATTTGTAAGAGAAGTATAAACAATAAATCAATAGGAGACTCTCCACTGACTTCAGAGATCACTGGGTTGGGCTTTCTCTATCAATATCAATTAGGGATCTCTGCTGCTTAGATGTTCATGGCTACTGCCATTGAAACAAATGGCTGCAACATCAACATAAAATGATACATAGCTCTGCATCTTCCTATGAAATAATTGTTTGATAGCATCACAGGGAACTCCCTTGGGGAAGAAAATAGTAAATATTTGGTAAATACAGTAATACTCCCCTGCTGTTCTTTGATGCTGCCCAGACAACTCATGTCAGAGATGGAAATAAATGCAAGAAAAAGTAAACGTCAGCAGAAACTTCTCAAATGGAATTTGCAATCACTAAATGCAGAAACTGCAAATCTTTCTATTTCTCAGCTTTTGTGCTTAACTAACATTTGTGTTAAGTCAGTATCATGAAAATCAGAGAGTTCTTGCTCTAAATGTTCATGCAGTCTTTGAGGAACTCATGAATTCATGGAGACGACTATGGAGGGGGTGATGGTGGAAGGATTTCTGTGCAGGAAGAGATAGAAAGGGTAGGTCTGAAATAAAATGCAGATCAGGAAAATTAAATTACCATGACAAATATAAATGAGTTCCGAAAGACTTTCTGAGTGGAGTCTCTAAGAACTGTAACAAAGTTTAATATGTTTTGGGAACAAGATAATGAGAAGAGGGAATCAGTGCTAGCCTGGTCCCTACAGAGGATGGCCTGATTCTGATATACAAACAGAGTCCTTTCTCATAATAGAGAAGTTCAAACTCTTATCCCTCTGAATCTCTGAACCTAATCTATGTTATCCTGGGAACAGCAGGGTAGGAAAACCCTTCTGCTTTCTAAGGCACTACCTGTGATTCAGCAAGTAGGCCAGTACTAAATCGATAATATGGCATTTGTTTTTGTGGGAGTCCTTCACTGAGGCTTTTCTGGGTGAGCGATGATGGGCTGAATCTAATGACTCCCAGCTCAGCTCCATGTGGAATTCCACATGGGAATCTGTACTTGGACTGCAATTTAAAAGCAATCAATGTGATGACAATAAGCACAACAGCACCGAAGGAAGATGCCACAGACACTTTTGCCAAGACTCAGAGGATATCTGAGATGTAAACCATCTGTATATGTAGAGGTGCTCTGTGCTCTGAGTCTGTTTTCACTGAAAGGGCATCTAAAAGAGATGAAAATGAATAGTCATCATTATGGACTGGATTTCTTCCAGCTGCTTAGTAATTAGAGTTTTAATTGCCCAGTAATAAAAGTTTTAATTACTCAGCAATTAGTTCTTGAAGTTTCAAGTTCTTCACATGCACTCAATTGCGTTCATGAACTGTCAAGAGCAAAAGATGGAGTAGCTGCTGCCAAGCTCTGAGCTCTGAGCAAGAGGAGTAAACATCAGAGATGGAGCAGCAGCAGCAAGTGGGCATAGCCCCAGTGGCCAGTCAGGCAAACACTCTCACAGAGCAGAGCCTGCAGGCAGCTTGTGACCTTTCCCAAACCCACCCCTTCCTCAGCTGGGCCAGACGAGGTTCTTGGCTGGTAAAGGCATCCTGCTGGCTGAGGAAAGGATACTGCAGAGACCGAGTCCATTAAGTCTCTGTTCCTTCTCCTGGTGCATTCATTCCTTCAGGCTTTTAGTCACATACCCTGCAAGTACTATTCAGTTATCATAAATAAGTTTTAAGCTAAACTCACATGGATCGAATAGGAAGCAGCTAGCTCTGTAGGTGTCCTATCAAAATGCAGAGTCTAGAAGGAACTGCATATTTGTGATCTGCTTGGGTAACCAAAGAGGCAAATTGTCTGACAAACCATGTAGTCAGAGAGCAGGGACAACCTTTCCATAAAATAATTACAGTTGCTCCAGCTTTCTTTTTCATGCCCAGCGGAGAGAGTTTTAAATGATGTTCAGGTTTTCTACAGGCAGCATGCAAAATCCATCACAAGAACTTTGGCAAAACAGGACTAAATTGATCTAGTAAAAATATTTCATGGAAAAAAAAAGCTGGTAGAGGAAGGGCGGGGTGAAACTTTTCAGAAATTCAAAGGAAGCTGCATGTTCTATTAGATGTTACTCATAATTGTAGAAATCTAATTTTTGAAGAGAGAATCATAATGTGTTTGAAAAGGTGGGAGTTTTCTTTCCTTGTTTGTTACACTGGCTTCCAAATTTATCTATTGGTAAACAAGAGTTAAAGTGGAGATGTGAAGTTTTTGGGGAAACATACCAATAGTCACATAAGCATGGATTTGAAAAAACCCTTCCTATTCCTAAGTATTAGAAAAAATTGAACAAATTCAAATTATGATTACCTAAACATCAACATCTAAATAATATACACATAGCATGAAACAAAACAGAGTTTTCCCCCTCTACTCTGAAAGGGAGGAACTTAGACCTTTTAACAGCACCTGGTTACATGGTTAGCAACCTGGTTAGCAACTCAAAGCATTTAGGTCATCCCTAATGTAGTGTCAGATATTTTCAGTGCTCCGGGCTATACAGGTCATTGATTCCACAAATGCTGTACTTCACTGGGGTGCTGATTTCAGGGACTATACATATGTTTGCTCTCTCATTTCCCTGAGACAGTATCTGTAGTACGCTTCACAATGGTGAATAAATACCTGATCATAGCAGATTGTTTTTTCTAACAATAGAACACTGTGAAGTATTAAAGTCATAATAAACTGGGATTCATCTTATTGAATGTAGCTGTCTTGTCTAAGTTGGTAACAGGTTCAGTACATAGATGCAGACATCTGGGTGAATCACTCCTTCCAAATTTAAATGTCCAGGACAGATGAGGTAATTATTCCCTGGTGGAGCTTTCTCTATTAAATAAGGAAGGACAATTCTTAGACAATTGAAACCCAGTGCAATGTAGAGTCTCAGAAGGAGAATGGACTGAAGAAAATAGGCTTTGTTGAGTGCCAGTATTGATTTCCCCTTGCACATCCAGGAAAAGGACATGTATTTCAGACAATGTTTATGTTGTAGTTATCATTATTCCTTTCACCTCCAAGGCTGCAACTCAGAGTCCCAGGTTTGGATAATAAACCATTCTGTGTTAGACACCACATAGATATAGGACAAACAGCTAAGCTCCATCTCTAGTAGGTTAGAGTCAAAGCAGTCCATGCCATGCATTTTATTTACAGTGAGAAGTCATATTGTACAGTAAGTCTTTGCAACAGGCAGTTCTTTGGTTGACTCCTATTGAAAAGTGCTTCCTCTTTTCAGTGTTTGGCACCTTATGGAACGTCTCTTTTCTATTATTATTTTCCAGCTATGCTTTTCCCAGCTGCTCAGCGAGTCAAGAGGTCCTCAGCTGCCTTCCTTAACCCAGTGTTACAAAACTCACTGGAAGATGTGGTCCTGCTTTACGAGGTTCAGTATGTGGGAGCAGATGGTACCTTAAGCCTTAACCAAGACCGGGGTTACTTTCCACACTGGGGTTACTTTCCATACTGGGGTTATCCATTACCTTGTCTTCATGTCACTTTTACTCACCCCAGAAGTAAACCCACTGCTGACTGTGTGATAGATCACCACAAGGGAGAGAACAGACATATACATATGTGACAATCTCAGTTCTTCGAGCATTTAAGCAGGCAGCAGTTGCCTGCTGTACCTCAAATTTGATTTCTAGCTCACCAACAGGCAAAGTGAAAACCAGAGCAAAAGGCTTTCCACTGAAATGTACTTTCTTCCAGAACAGTTGCATATTAAAAACAAAGCACATTTAAATTCTTTGGTCTAGGTCTCAGTCACAAATTATTAAGGCTACAAGTATCAGTAACTGCAAAGTAATCCCAAGGGCATGACTGTTTTCACTTCGAAACAATTCAGGTCCCCCCTTTGACAGCAGTGGGGACTGCAATCTGTAAATGACAGTCTGGTCATATGGTTAGCTAAGGGAAAGTGGCCCACCTGAAGAAGGTGCATGGGTCAAATCTGTCTATCCCACACCTTGAGAAAATGGGATTGGATGTCCAAAGAGGGGAGTTGGGCTGGGAAGCTACTGATGTGCTTTCTCACACAGAACTAGGCTATCCGCAGCAGGGTGCCAGCAGCAACCCTTACCTGTTTTGATCAACAGAAGAGGACCTGCTTTTTCCTTTTCCTCTTTCCTTTTCCCCATGGGTTATCTCTAATTTTCCTAGGTAGGTAACACAGGAGTCCAGTTTTCACATAGAAACTTTATGGTCTGCCCAACCTCCAGCCAGTGCAATTGTCTCGATTTGACATAAATTAAAGACCTAAGGACATGTTGTTAATACACATTTACTCTGCCTAGAATTTCTTGGAGAAAATAAATAGCTTTCTGTGCTCTGATTTTGTACCAGTTTCTTTTAGCTGAGCTTGACATTGACAGAGGTCAGAGGATCTCCATCAAAGATGAGGAGCTCGCTTCACTGAGGAAGGCTGCTGAGTTTGACACCATCTGCAATGAAATTATCCCCAAGAGCATCACAGAGATCCGCAGGCTGAGTAGCATGCTGTCTTCCTACCCAAGGGTCCTCAAGAAAGAAGACTTTGAAAGGACAGTGCTGACCATGGTCTATACAGCCTACAGAGCTGCTCAGTCCCAAGGACACCAGAAAGACGTTTGGGCTCAATCCTTCGTCAGTCTTTACAAAGCCCTGAAGCACGACTTGATGTTCCCATACAACAAACAGCCATCCTAGTGGGAGACTAGATGCAACAGCAACTCAGCCACCTCTTTTGGTTGATAATGGACACATGTAGCACGTCCACCACTTTATTCCGTAAAGAATTTAATAGCCTGCTCTGTGAAAGATTATTTGTTTTCTAGCTCCCTCTTGTGGAATCCACCTTATAGTTCCATTTTAAATGGTGCAAAATGTCCAGTCCTGAGAATTCAATTTTTGTGCTGGCTTGGAGGCATATTCTAGGACAAGCAAAGACGTGAGTCTGGGGTACACCCAGATAAACCCTTGTTTCATCCTTTAGATTTCCTAAAAACAATATCTAAGTACACTGTGCTAATGCTCACATCCCTATGTGTAAGTGCTGGAGAGTGTTGCTTTCCTAGCTAGGGAAACAAGTTCATGTTTTGACTGGCCAGTAAAAGAAAACTTTAAATAGATGCAAAGGCCCTCTGTAAAAAGAAGAGGTTTCATAACTGTCAGGCTTCAGAAATTATGCCATATATTATTCATTCCAAATGTTCTTGTAAATAAGCACTCTCTGATTCACTTCATTTGGCTGAGCCAGTTTTTAATTGCAATAACATTTGCGGAAGACAAAGGACATTGTGAACACCAGCAGCAAACAAAGCCTCTGAACGTATTCCCTGCTTCCTAGAGCTGCCCTCCCAAACAGTCTGCAATTATTCTTTCATTATTTGCACATAGTTTTGCTTCTGCTGCTTGGTTTTTTTTGAAAGGAATTTGTTCGTGGTGGAATCAAAGGCAAGACAAAGGTCCTATTTAATTTAATAAACGACACGTTTTCCTGGTTCTGTCACTTGAACGTAGGTCATCTAAACCCATGCTTCAGAATCCTACTGAGGCAAGGGAGGAAGGTGCATTGAAACATACCTGGTGCTGAATTTAGCACTGTGGCTCGGTTTTGTTTTTTTTTTTTAATAGTAAATTGTATATTCGAGTATGTGTGTGTGCGTGTATTTCTGTGTATGTTCATGCATCTGTGCACACATAGGTGCTGAGTATGTAGAAGAATCCTAAATTGTTCAGTCAGGGAAAAATTGCATCTGACCACTTAGCAGAAATGCTATTTATCAATTCAGTGGTGTGAATTATGTGTTTGGGAGCAGCAAAAGCAAAAATTGTAGAAATAGTGTAACTGATTTTAATAAACTCCCAAACAAATCATGGACAGAAAATAGACAAAAAAATAACATATATGTTGTCAGACAGATGGCTAACTATTAAAAATCCAAACTCTTCTAAATGAAATCCCCTAATTTTTGTGCAGAAGTGATACAAACTCTGTTTTTCTATTGAAATTAATGATGCTTCTACTCCCAGACCATGGGAAAACTGCTAAACATTTATTTTATTCTTTCATACCATCCTTCTCTATCTCTCTACTGGCAAAATGTTTTAAGAATACAGGCCCAAATCACAAATCCCTGAGGCTGTAGAAGAGACCTGAAGATTCCAGCCCGAGTTCTGAATCATGTTTAAGTGCTTTTGCATCACTTGAGCAAACAGAATTAATTCTACCGTGTCCCTTGACAGGCGTACTTCAAGGACTGGAGCCGAAAAATATCTATCCAGCACCACCTTGTTGCAGCAAACAGCAAATAGCACAAGCAGTCAGAGTACACTGGGTTTGGCAATCATGTGGGAATGTGGAACCACAGCAGCCTTAGGGGCAGTCTGTCCATGGCATTAGCAGCTGGACAAAGGGCTTTTAAACGACAGAGTCAGTCTTGTTCCTCCCAGGAGTTTCTGTATTTGTGTGTATGGTCGTGCACATCCGCATTTAGACTCACATATGTGTAGGTGCACTTTTATACCTGAAGAGTTTTGTTGGCCATCTTCAAAGTCTGTCTGGTATATGGCAAGAGAAACCAAAAACCTCAATTATAAAGCTATGGGCCACAAATGTCTCCATCTTCTCTACTTGCACACACAGCCTGGCTTTCACAAAGCAGACTTGCACTACAGTCCTCATGCCCTTTAAGCCCTGAGCTTTAACACTGATGATCTGTTTGTGTTCTCTTCCCCCACCATGCTTTATAAACACATAGAGGGGAAATGGCTACTGCTTTTCCAGCTCTGCTTCTTAGCTCCCTGAAGCACCACTTGCCAGAAGAGCCTGGAACCAGGGCAATTTATAAATCCCTTACAGCCAATTACTCCAAGTCTGCAAAAATAATAAGAAAGAGAACTAAAGCAAATATTAATTGCTGGCAGTCACCATTCAGAGAAATGAATGGTAACCATACCCAGCCACGCTCCTTACCCCACAAAAGGACTGTCTAGCAGTCAGAGTTTACTCATCATACAATATCCCATAGAAAAGAATTACAGATAATTTTTACTATCTTATAATTCCCTATGGCATACCTAGTAAGGTTACTGTACCTTACAAATTGGTAACCCGAAGCCTTTATCTCCTCAATAGAAAATAAAGGTTTTATGAGTTTATTTCCCTCCTCCCTTTACTGTGTGTAATGTAAGAAAAAGATTTATTCCTTGGGAATGTGCTTGGACTGCCCAGGTTAATTTAACAGAGACTCTCAATGTAATAATAAAAACATTCTACATAAAATACTTGTCTTTGCATTGTATTGATTTCAGCAACAGATTTACTATTTAGCAACTTCAGCTTGAGTAATTGTTTACCTTGGAATGCAAAACTCTTCATGGCAGCAACAGTACAGTAGAGAAGAGGGAACAGCCCTTCCCTCTGTGGAGCAGGAGTTGGTAATAAATAGGAACAAGAATGCCTCCTTTTCCAGAGTTCTGGTGAGAAGGAGCACTCTGCCTTCAGGGCAGCTCTTTGAGCTTAGGGCAGTGCCCTCCCTCAGTATTCCTTAAGGTGCAGGAGTAGGTTGCCTGCTCCCAATCTTTTACATCTTATCACTTCAGATTGAATCTTCTTTATAGGCCATTCTTCCCTCACAGGCTGGAAAACCACTGCCCCTAAATGGCACCTTTTATCCACCCTTTGACCTTACAGATCATAAAAATGTGAAATAAAGGTTAGATTATATTTTCATTTAAAATAAAACTATTTTTAAATTTTGTAAGTCTTTTAGATTTTTTTTGTCTCTCTGAAACAACTGATAAAACAGATATTAATTCCCTAGCTGCATTGGCCAACCCAAAATCTTCACATTAACTATATTTTTACTTCCAGAACTAGTTGCTAAATTTGCCTGAAGGGTCTCAAAATTCTGTTGCTTGATGGAAGTTTCAAGGCATATAGAAGCATTTCACAGTCTGAGATACAATTACTCATTTCAGGAAGAATTCACCTTGCATATCAAACCCCTCTGCAGGTATGCCTTTGCTAGTTCTCCAGGAGTCATGGTCACAGAGGCATTACAATCCAGTCTGGGGAGATCAGTTTGTCATGTGCTAGCAGAGGGTGGGGAGAGGATAGGCAAGCACCTTTTGGGGGCATGGAAATTCCTAAAGGTGTGGCTTCCTATAAGATCCAGATCAAATGGAGAGATGTCTACAGATTGTGGACGTAACCAGCCAATGGATTCAGCTCTAAATCTGTGGTGTTTTGGCCCTATAAAAAGCATTAATTACAGAAGTGCTGGAGAAATGTTTTTGCACTAGAAGACTAGAGTGGAAAGTCTAAAAATTTCCAATTTGATTTTGAATCCTCTGGTTACTTAGGGCACATTAATCAGTACAGAGATTGTGACATTCAAGGATCGCGATGGAAGAAACATGAAGACAAAAGATATTGTTTAGAAAACAATGATTATTTATTTATTTATCATCAGTACTGGGACCTTGAAACAATAACAAACTGTTCAGCAACTTAGAAAAGGTCTTTTTGTATATTTGTGTGAATGTCAGAATGAGGAGGTTGTTGATGTTCTCAAATGTTCTGACTGGGTTTTGGACAATGGGTGGAGCAACTTCTACCTTCTGGAGTCCTCATTGGTGCATTAGAGCTGCATATAGCTTTTTAACAACTTTTTGTCTTGAGATCAAGCATAATCTGTGCTGGAATTGCTGCCCTTTGAATTCCAAGCTCAGGGCAAAAGTAGGGCAAAGGTAGATACAAAGCAGAAGCAAAGAAATAAAGTCTGAAGGAGCTGCAGATGGTTTTTTTGGGGCTGTTTTTGTTTTTTTTTTTTTAAAGAAGGAGTACCTGAACATTTACTTCTATGCACTGAACCATAAATTGTTGGGTTTAATAATTTTCCAGCAGAAAAGAAACTGTATTTGAGGTATTCAGACTATCAAACAGAAGGAAAAGCAGCAGCTCAAGACATATACCGCTTGGTTTATGAAAACAGGAGTCACATCTCTAGATGATGGAAAAAAAAATTATAAAACATGGGAATAAGGATACAACACAGCTACAAATGTGAGTCTGAATTAAAAATAAAAATTGTCAAGAGATCACTATGTTCCAACTTGCAAAACTCTGCATGTTACGGTGTGTTAATAATTTGGATGTGCTGGTGAGCCCCACATAAACTGAATATTTTTTAATTGAAAACCTTTTCAAAACAAAAAACTGAAGAATAAATAAATTAAGAAAGGTATTTTAGGTGACTGTATGGGGATAGGAAATGAAGTGGTGAGATTTGGGGAAATTCAGGCATAGGTGAAGGAAAGTTGAAGTAGAGTGGAAGCTGGAGTATCTGAGGCTTGAAAGTTGGAAAAAGGAAGGTGTGGAAGTCAGAGAATCTGAGGAACTGGAAAAGTATCTGAAGGAGAAGAAAGCCACCAAAAAGTAGAAGAGTATGGCAGTGATGAAGGAGATTCTCCGATCCAGAAACCTCCTACTCGTTGTTCTCATTCCACTTCTGCTGCTTCCTCTGCCACTCATATACCCCAGCAGTGTAAGTACATTTTTAATTTTCTTTTTAGCAAAGCCTCTGAGTGCAGCAGTTAGTACTGCTGGATAAGTTTGCAGTGTGCAAAAACAAAGCCAAAGACCTAAAGAAGCATAGAGCTTAGAAAAATCTAAGACTCAAATTTGAAGGACTGTGAGGGTCACTGAGAAGTCATCACAGTAAGAACCAGAGCTACCTTGAGTCATGTCACAAGCAGAGCTGAAGAGCCAGGTGAAGCTAGTAAAGCAATACTTTAAAGCAAAAATGTCATATCTCTTCATTTTCTAAAATAATGTCTATGTAGAAGGGGGAACAGAAGAAACATATACATGAAATTTTCTTTCAGAAGAGGTCTTTAAAAGGAACACTTATAGTATTCCTTTATTAAAAAACTCTTTAATTTTTAAATAATAAGTATGCATGGAGGGACTTTCAATTTAATGTGGTTTTGTAAGATGGCAATTCAGGTGAGGCAGGGGCTGGGACACAGTGACAGGCATGTAGGACCCTACACAGCATTGACTACTCCAGAGCAGGTGTAGGTATCTCTGCAGCTCTGACAGTGGTTAATAAATGCTGGCTCAGAGACATAAACAGCAATGTAAAGGAGGGAATAGTCTGTGCTCAAAACACAGACCAGAGAATGGGAATGAAAACACACAGACCAGAGAATGGGAACGAATTCAGCTGTGTTCCTGACACTGCTTTGGACCTACCGAATACCTTTGGCCGCACGGTGAACTCCTCTCTATGCACGTCTCTGCCGTTGCAACCGATAAAATAGCAATGATTTCCTACCTTATGGAGAAGGTGATATTTAACTTATCAAAATTTGCAATGTATTAAAAATTCTGCGGCTTGTCCTTCTACATAGTCCTAGACATAAATCTGGCCAAATGGTGCAGCAATTTGCATTCTGTCTTCTACGCTGCTAAAGATTAATTCTTCCTTACAGTATCAGAGGATTTTTCCATACTACTACTTTATCAAATCAAAATGCATGGGATTAGAAATTATATGGCTGTTTTCAAAAATAAAACAGCAATATTTTTTTGAAAGAAAGCCAGGATTCATAAAAAGGAAATATTCCTACACCACTGAACTGTGTGTTGCACCTAGAGTTTTCCTGCTCTGAACTTCAATGTATATCTTGGTTGTTCTCTTGCAGTAGTTTTTCACCTCTTCTGTCTCGAGAGAGGCAATGAATGACAGATAATTGTGGTCTTCTTCAGAGAACAGAAGGACTCACCCTTTCACAGAGTCTTGTTTTACAGAATGGCTTTATCTCCCCCCCATGTCACTGGAAGTGTGACATAAAAAGATATACTCCCTGACATGCCCATATGGCACTGTAGCTGCAGCATGCTCTATGTCCCTTGAGACCCTTCCCTAGGAAACATGAGACTCACTGCACTAAAATTTGTCACTCTTGTTTGCTCCTTACTGGATTCAGAGGCATAGGATGCAACAAGGAGGTTTTAATAACCAAGGGACTTGTAATAGCACCATATGGGTGCTGAAGCAGAAGTTCATAAGAAAGTATTGCTGCAAGAATATTATTATACAGCCCTTATGACATTGTTTTACTGCAAAGTCACATGCAAATCCATTAGGTTATGTTTTACATCCACTTGTATATATGTGAATGACCACAGATGGTAAAGTACAGCTGAGAATCTGACGGAGTGTTGCACAGATGTTTATAGCACTATTAAGAAAACATCTTCACCAAATAAACTCAGCTGACAGTACTCTATTCAAGTGCTTTTGTGTAGAATTTACTTTGCTACAACCCATTGATTATGATTACTTCTTAAACCTGAAGATTAAATTTTATGCCTGCTCACTTATTTATATTTTTATTTATCAGACAAGTATACTAGTTTTCTGTCTTTCTTATAGAGATCAGAATTACCAGGTCACTTATACTGGCATTTCTGCAGAGAATCAGCGTGCAGTTTCTGATGATATCAGCACATCTCTGGAAACCTCAAAGGAGCATTACATGTGTAGTGGCAAGAGTGATCAAAGGGAGCACAAGGATTCAGAACTGTTTGTAGATATGGCTAATGGGAATAAAGTCCACAGCTTGTTTTCTATTATTTTGTGACAAAACATGGTTGGGTAAAAAGTAAACTTGAGAAAATTTGTTTGCATTCTTTTTTCCCTTTCCAGAGTTATAGCTGAACTTGTACCACAAGTTTGGATGCACATAAGTGCCTTTCAGGTCTGACACACTTAGGAAAAAACCATGCCTGCATCCAAGATATGCAATGCACACTTTCAAGTGGACCAATTTCCAACACAGAGTTTATTCTTCCTTTTAGTCACTCTGAGATCCTTGTATATTTTAGTATATGAAAGTTTTATGCATGACCCTTAGTATGGACATTTTAGCCATGGCATCCTTACAGCTTCTTTTTCTTCTCACCTAAGGAACTGACTGAAGGTAGATCATTAGGTGATAGTCCCTCCAACGATCACATTTTCCTATTACCTGTTTCAAGCCCTAAGATGGGCTTAACAGTAATTTTCAGCTGTAAAACTACAAGTGAGAGGGTGAAACAGTTAAAATTACACTGCCACTACTTCAGTCTAGTACTTAGTTGCTCTGGTAACCATTAATTAAATATATAAATTCAGTTCAATTAAATAGAAGAGATTAATATGGTTTCTCTTGGAAACAAGCTGGTTTAAAGCACTGAGAAAATAAAGAAAGAAAGTTGCTAGACAAGCTGATTAAGTTTTTAGTGGAGATTATCAAGCTTGGCTTTCCTAGTACTTGTAAAACAGTTTTATACCATTTAAAAATGAGCTTTATTTTAGGTTGTTTCATTTTGTAAAATTATTACAGCCTTGTGTATAAGAAACACAAAGACTCAGTGCCCATCCCAGTTAGGTTTTGGTAGAGATGCAATTTCCCTTTGTCCTATTCCATCCTCACTATCAGCCTATTTTTTTGCCAAATACAGAATAGTAATAGAAAATAACAAAAATCAATGCTCAGAGAAATTAAAGAGAAGTATATTCTTGGAGTAAGACAATGGTTTGGATTCAGGTTAGGATAAAATTAATTTTATTAATTTTGGAAAAAATATTCCTTGTAACTTACATGTGCACTTCTTTAAAATAAAAATCAATGCTTTTTCATTAGAAGTTATTTTTCTCCTTAGACAACTGCTGGATGTCATACAGAGCCCATGCAAAGACAGTAGTTTTTGCAGCAGAAATTTTAAAAATTAAATCGTCAGTAGGTCACAAAAATCATCCTATGCTCTGCTCTCTGTGGAATATTAATCATGAAGTATAATGTAGTTCAAAGTGACTAAGCAGCAAGTTGGCTAATGTTTATGAGCCAATTCATCAGCTCCATGACTCATCTTGTCTTCCTAGTAGAGACTACCAAAAATCTGTAATGCCTATCATTTCACTTGTTAAACTTCCATTTTTAAGTCAAAATTTTTTCTTTGGGTTTTTTTACTAAGTGGCACTTGAAATTACTAGAAACTGAAGACCAAACTTTGGAGTTTCAAACAGCATAGCAATTCCATTTTATAAAATAATTATAACCCATGACTATTAACAAAAGTCCTCTGACCTCATCCATTCCAATCCAACCTTCTCTAGCTTCTCTTAGAATTTTTTCTTGGAAGCAATGAAGGTACAACTGCAAGACAATCTTTTCTTGTAATATACTGCTGAAGGACCTCACCATAGAGGACTAGTGAAACCTGTACTGCAGAGCTTGAAGCCTAAACCACTCTTCTATGATAAGGAAGAGAAACAAATATGCACATTTCTATGTAGTTCAGAGTACTTATCCATCCATAAAGGAATAATCCAGAGATAAATTTCTCCAATAGCCTTTCAGATACCCTTTATAATCTCCAAAGTAATTAGAGTTTATTTGCTTCAAGGAAGTTGTTTTCTTATAAACTTATTTCAGTTATTTTGGCGGCCCTGCTTAATGGAATCATGGAATCATTAAGGCAGGAAATTCCTCTAAGGCCATTGAGTTAAACCACTAACTCAGCACTACCATGTTCGCCCCTAAACCATATTCCCAAGGGCCACATCCACACACTCTTCGAAAGGTTCCAGGGATGGTGGATCCACCACCTCCCTGAGCAGCCTATTCCAATGCTTGGCCACCCAACCAGTGAAGAAATTGTCCCTAATATCCAATATAAACTTACCCTGGCTTAGATGAATTACAGCTGTTTGATGTCACACTTTTCTAAAATAATTTAAACAGCTAATTTAAACACAAGCTTCTGAGTAACCTTGGCTGAAATCCTTATCCAAATAAAGGAAATAGTACAAATCAATATATACTTTTCTCTGGTGTCCATTCTACCTGTTATTACTATAAGATGTACTAAAAAAAAAGAGACAAACAACTGATTGTGGCTGTTTGTTAGAGGTAATGTAAAAGTTACATGTATAAACATGAATTTAAATATAAGCTATTGATTTCACTGAACCCACATCCCTGTATAATTTCACTAAACTTTCCCACCTTGTTCACAAAAGTAATTGAAAAAAAATGAAGTGTGTGTTAACTAACTGAAAAAAAATGAATGCTCATTGATTTACACAAAGATGTGTGAGACTTGCTTGTATGACTTCTTGAAAGCTGCTTTATTTAGAAGTCATCCAATCAGGAAATGAAAGTAATGGAATTATATTTTAAGACACTCAGATAGTATTTGTGAAGAGTGAATTTTCTAAATAATAGCCATTTGTGAGCTGTGAATCCACATGACTCAGTAAGTTCATATGGAACATCCAGTGCATAATGAAGAACAGATGGATTCATAGATGTTGTAAACCAGTGTAGACCTACCAGCCTCTGTAGAACAGCAGATTAACCCCAGTACAGGAGCTGGCTTCAAAACTGAGAAAACAAAAGGAGAAACCTTTTCCTGAGAGTAGTTTCTGTAATTATTACCAGGAGATATCCCTGGATTTCTAAGTACAGCAAACTGAGCCTAAGGACAACTCAAATAAGTGCCATAAATAAAGACATATCTAGTTAAGAAATGGACCAGAAGAATTCAATGGACTAGCTGTGTTTTTCTGTAAAAATATTCAGCAGGTAGCACCTCTCTCCATCATATCCCAGCTCTCCATGAGTGCTCAGCATAATGTTGTCATGACTTTTCTACCAGAACCTTGGACAGCAGCAAATTTATTTGAATAGCTCCATTAACCCATTGCCTCTAAGCCTGCAGGCCTGTGATCTTCTTCTGAGGGCCTGTGTAAATTACCCAAGCAAATAAAATCAGCTAACAAAAATGTTTGCACCTTGTTTAAAAAAAAAAAAAGAATTCCTGAACATTTCCCAAAATAACTACAAATTCACATAAAATGTGAATATTTGCATCTGGTCCTGAAAAACACCAGTTCCTGTCCTTGTCCAGTATTGGAGAAAAAACCAAGCAGAAATAATATGTCCACAGGTCCAATCTGAGGAGTCATGGTTGAATGCTTGGCAAATATTGGATTATGGAAATCGAACAAATTTGTAAATGCACTTGAAACCATTATTTTACTGATAAATACGCTTATCACAATGTTTTGCCCTGGCTTAGGTGTGAAAACTTTCATTAGCATCATCCTCTGAAACTGATCTTTCAGATGGTAATCTAGATTTCACACTCAAACACCTGCACTTTAGGACGTCCTAATACAGTCCTTTTTGATTTTTTTTTAAATCCAGGCACCTACAGTCTGATGAATCCTACAAACAGGTTCACAAAGCCTCCACAGTTGCTGGTGGGGCAGTAACATGTAACCTCTGTGCTCTGTCCCTGCAGGAAGCCTCATGTGCCTACGTGCTGATCGTGACAGCCGTATACTGGGTCTCTGAAGCAGTACCTCTTGGTGCAGCAGCCTTAGTTCCTGCTTTCCTGTATCCACTCTTTGGAGTCATGAAGTCCAGTGAGGTCAGACCATTGTGAACTTTTTATTATCTGATGTTCTTACTCTCAGTTAATTATTTGAATAAGACTAATCTTAGTGCAGTAGCAAGACTTAGAGGTAAGGGAAGAAGAAGTGTACATCTTGTAATGTGTAACTTGGTCTGAACAGCTCTTTCTTCCACTGAAGACAGATATAGGATATAATATAGACTATATTAGACAGGAAGGATGTCCATCCTTTCAGCTACTGCAGCATCAACAATTCCCAAAACACATCCCATCAAAGGATTCCACCTTCAAAACCATGTAAAGAGCAGTATGGGATACACTGTGAAGTTTCCTTCCAGTTACATTTATTATAGAAGACATAAGGCAAGAGGTTACCAATGCTAAAAACAGTTACCATTTAGTGTAAAAGTCTAGGTAATTTTGTTGTCTGGGTGAATGTTTAATCCTTTTTTGAAGCTGTGACCTAGTGCTGCATTGTAGCCATGAGTTCTCAGGTAAAGGAGTAGCTGCACAAAAAAGTGTATATGATCAGTTTTGAATGTGCTTACCTGAGTGTTTTCTTGAATGTTACTTTCTTTCATGATATGCCAAGAATTTATTTTATCTACAACTTTTTTTTCTCCTGCTTTTTTCTATCTCTTTTTTGGGGAGGGTAAGGGAGCCTCACACTTGATGAAAGGGCTAGAAATACAGATAAGGACACAGAAGAATATATGGCAACCATAAATTTGTTGAATTTCTGTCACAATATAGCACTGGGAATACCGATAAATGGATAGAGAAAAGCACGAACCAAAAATTTTATGACCTGTCTTATTTCTTCCAGTGTTGTAATATAATCAGATACGTTTCCATACTAACACAATTTAGTAGTTTCAAAATTTTTTTCCTATCATAAAGGCAAAGTAGTTAGGTATTTTCATTAAAAACTTGGAAGCACATTGAAAAGGAAAATTTAATGTCAGCCTGACAGAAATTCAATGTAATATCAAATAAAATGACAGTGGAACTACTGCAGAGAACATATTATTTGCTTTAGGAACAGAAATAACCCCTTGTATTTAAAAAATAAACAACTCTGATAATGCTGCAGTATTTCCAGTTTACTGTTCTAGAGTGACTGACCCAGGTCTCTTGCCTAGCACTTTAAGCTACCAGTAACTCACAGGGACTTAAGAACATGAGTGTCATATATATGTATGTGGGTATTAACAAGACTATTAACATTCACTGGTTTCTCCAAGTTGCCTGCGAAAGGAATAAAGGAGAACAAGAGATTCTTTGTTCTGCTGGCTTGATGGATTTCTTTCATTCACCTCAAGATATTTTTATAACAAGGTAGCAGGAAAATAAAGAAAGTTAATGAGAAAAAAAACAGTGGAAGAAAAAGTGATATTTAAAAGTTCTGGCACACAACTCTGTTGGCCAAATCTATTTTGGTCACTGTGGGGATTTATTAAATAAATGTAATTAAATACATAACTTGTTTCAGGTTTCACAGAATAACATTAGTGACATTCTTGCACTTTACAGAGGAGTGTCAGTATTACTGAGGATAATAGAAAAACTACTGCTTCCTCTGATCTTAATTGTTTTAAAATGCTGAAGAATAGTTTTAAACTGAAGAAATTATGTTTTTGGAAAAATATTCCAGCAACAGCTTAAGAAGGATTGCATCAGGATGGGATGAAAAATTTACTAGGCTCCAAGTACCTGTTTGTAACTTTTGTTTTCTCCCATTTTGATGGTTTTAGTTTGCTCTCTTTAAATTGAAGTTCTGTTTCTTGACACTTTTCCATATTTTCCTGATAAAATGGAGATACTTTTCCTATGTGAAAAGTTTTGGCACAGGATTTGTGGATCATCACAGCAATATAAAAACCTTTCTTAGCTGCATTCAAAGAGCATGTCCCATAGGACTCTTTTTCTGAAGCTGCAGGTTCTGGGGATGCCACATTTCACCCAAAAGTTGAACAAGACAGAATAAAAATAAACAAGATAGATAACGATAGCTCCAGAATGAAAAAGCAGTTGAAACACATGAATAAGCTGCCTTCAGTGCAGAGTTTTGTCTGTGGTTGTCTCCATGTGAGCCTAGTTGAGTATGACAGATTAACTGCAGGCACTGAACATCCTGCTCAAAAAAGTAACATTTCTCTTGATCTCTTCAAAACTGAGAAGCCTACAAACAGTTGAGTATAGAGCCTAGTTATTCATAAACACAACATGAAACAGATTAAAGAGAATATTTTGACTTATGAATTCTTCATGTTCTCCAGCTCCCTGTCATTCTTACTCTCTGGGGAGAAAAAACGTGCGACACCACATTACTTCTCCTACAGCGTGCTTTCTGTGTAGGGCAGTTACTGCTTTTTTAACTGACTGCTTCCCCCTGGTCCTTAATGCAGGTGGCTGCTGAATATTTCAAGAACACAACTTTGCTCCTCATGGGTGTGATTTGCGTGGCAGCTTCTGTAGAAAAGTGGAATCTCCACAAGCGAATTGCCCTGCGCATGGTCATGATGGCTGGAGCCAAGCCAGGCATGTGAGTGAACTTTTGACTTCAGGGTAATCTGAGCCTGACAGCAGCAGCTCAAAACAATTCTGATTTCCCCATCCATGGGCACAAAATGTCTTGGTTTGGGGCTCATTTTCATATCCATCTTTCCTTTCAGAGTTTGAAAGCTTAAAAATCTTATCATCCTCTTTCTGCCACCTCTAACTCCTTGGATTTCCCTGTGTTGCACGCCAGGTTGCTTCTTTGCTTTATGTGTTGCACCACGGTGCTCTCCATGTGGCTTTCCAACACATCCACCACAGCCATGGTGATGCCAATTGTGGAGGCAGTGCTCCAGGAGCTAGTGAATGCTGAGGAGGAGTGTGAGGTCATCAGTACTGCAGGCAGCACCATCACTGAAGAAAAGAAGCCAATAGGTATTTGTCAATATTGGTCATTCTTTGCTTATTTGGTTAGCAGTGACCAGACTTGTTGATATATATTATTCAAATTCTATCAAGGTCAGATCTGTCTGATTTATACTGTCAAAGATACTGATCTGTACTCTTTCCTTTGGTACTCTGATATTCCTTTCAAAAAATGAAATAAAGTTTTAAGGTGAGATGGAAGAATTGGAGTTGCAAAACTATTTATACTGAATTAAGGCATCTACTGGAGCTTGTGTGTCATAAACTTTTAGGTCATGTGATTTTACAGGGTTGGAAGGAAATCCATGAGAATAAAGTTCAGGAAACTCAGAAAAGGCCCAAAAGTGTGCTCTTCGACAATCCCAAACCAAAAAATTGATAAGGGCTCTAGGGTTCATTTTGGTAATTCCTTCCCAAAAAGAAAGGATTTAGGTAGAAAAAAAAATATATCTCTGTCAGTTTACAGTTTCCAGGCTGAAAATTATTTCATCCAACCTTGTCTATTATATGTGGGCATGATAGTCTTGTAATTGCCAGAGGCACATGATCAGTACAACACAAAATAATAAAATGCTGCATAAAGAGAGCATTGGAGACAGCTCGGGCAAGCTTTTGTTTGCAGCAGCCCCTCCAGGTCCAGTGGTGTGACCCAGGGGCTCAGCTCAGTTCTTACCCCAAGGGCTGCTTTCTCTTCCTTTGTTGCAGGTCTCAGCGAAAAGCATGACCAACCTTCACTGGAGCTTATCTTCATCAATGAGGAGTAAGAATGAACCCTGTACATCAGGACTGGAGATTTGAGCCCTACACAGGTTGCAATGAGAGGAACCCAGGAGTAGAGCCAGGAAGGGCAAGCAGAAGCTTACAAGTGAATGTTTCACGTGTGACTGAAAAGGAAAGCTTATATGATAAATGGGATTAATGTAATGGTCTGGATCTCACTAAAGCTTTGCAGTATTCATTAATTTTTTTAACACCATGAACATTTTAGGGAGAAGGAAAACATTTCTTAGGATTTGAAAGCTCTTTTGAAGTCTGTGTTTATGCTCTGCAAGAGAGTGCTGTCCACACACTTTTATTTCTGTTCCCCTTAATGAGCAGTGATGGAGAGGATTCAAGTACATATGGAGTGCCCACAGGACATATCCAGAGGGAAATCAATTACAGAGCATTCCTGAAGAAAGTCTGAACTGTCCTCATTTAAGAGAGAGATGAGAGCAGGAGGGGAGGGAGGTGGGGGGATAGCAGGAGGGAGAACCAACAGAAAAACACCCCTCCTCCCCAAAAAATTTGTAAAAGATTTCTTTAAATATAGAATTTCTTCGGAGGTTTGAAACACTAACAGTTTCAACCAGGTCTCTGTTTGAGGTAGAATCTAGTAAGATGAAAAGGGTAAATCAAGCAATGGACTAATTTCTTTGCCAAATTATCAAATTAACCATCAGTTCAAGATACACAAGGGAATACACAAAGCTAATGTCCTAGAACTGTATTATAGGCTAAATCCTGAGGAGCATCTTCTTATGAAGTGTGAGAATAAATTACACAGCCCATTCTGGAGCTCCTTCTATATTGTTCACAGCTGTTTGTAATAAAACAGAAGCAAGTTCTTGTTTCTTTTAATTTTAATTTTAATTTTAATTTCTTTTAAATTTTAATTTATTTTAAAACAAATATTATAATTCAAACAGCATAGGTTGAATACTTTCAGTTAACTTGCAAGATCTAAATATTTATCTCATTAGTCTAGAGACTGTTGGGTTCTCCAGTATTCCCTCTGTTCTCTCTTTTATATCCCAGCCACATTTTCTGTACAATATAGAACCAAATTTTCAGTTTGGCATTCTGCCATTAATCCCTTAAAGTCCTGTTGAAGAGTACATGTCAAATATTTTATACAGAACCATTGTTAAAACAGTATTACTTGAAAAAGAGCTTGAAATTTGGCAGGAAAAGCAGCACATCTTCTGGAATTAAGTTCAGTGGGTTGTTTGCATGGTCCACGTGCTGAAAAGTTAGCAGTGGAAGAACTTGACTAGAATAGACAGCAGTAGTGCTGGGTTGCCTGGTGATTAACTCCACTGTGAATGGAGTCCCCTCCTAGAATGGGATATATACTACAAGGAACACAAATATTTTCTTGCATGGAGGTGGAACCCCATTGCTACACAGCTAGAGATAGAGCTGTGAAACATAATGATGACTGACATTGTCCGGTCAAGAGACCACATAAGAGGTTCTAATAAATTGTATTCACCATTAAACAGGCACTAGTTCTCCTGCGGAGGTTGCCCCTCCTACCCATGATGTGTGCCTTTTGAAGGAGCTGGGTGAACAGGCATTTATAAAGCATATTTTCCTTTCTTTGTTTTTAGTGCTACTACTACTGACTTCAGCTCCTTGATGCACTCAAAGGTATTGTGATAGGTAGTATCTTCTGAGCTACATTGTCTTCTAATGCAGGAACCATCAGAGCAGAATCCACACAGCTCTGAAAAAAAATGGTTTCCTTCATTTCAAATAAGAGGTGGTTGTTGGCAGAGAGTACATGTTGCAGAATGTCCTGTTCTGTATGTTACCTGTCAGCCTGCTTGCACTAATCAAGTTGGGGAACATTAGCTCCATAACAACAACATAAGTACATAAAAATGTAAGTTTGTTGTACTTACTGCTGGAGGTCCTGAGATCCAGTCATTAAACTAACAATTCCATATGTTTTCTAACAAATTCAGATATGATCTTTTATTGTCCAGGTGTTTCCAGCTTCATCAGCTGAGACATCTCAGTTACTAGAACAGACTACACATATCAGAAAGTCATAGCCTCTAGCAAGGGACCTGTTAGATTTTCCTACATGACAGAGGAAGAAGACCTGATCTCATTATAATCTGACTTTAAGATAATTTTAAATAAAAAAAAGGTTTAGGTGTTTGTTTGTTTGTTTGTTTTCCAGTGTAGAATTTACAGCTGGTCTTTTAGTGGGTTGGATTTTGTTGTAGTTTCAAATTATTTCTTTTTTTCTCCAAAGCCTACTCCCCATGACCTTTAGGAAGCATCATAAATTCTTTTCTAAGTGCCCCATGGAACATAAGAAAGGCTAATCCAAAGGTATTTGTCTCCTTACAGAGTATGAATGGTGTGCACATGATAGGCAACCCTGTTGGAACAATGAATTCTCAGAGCAATGGGCAGCACATACCCCAGGTAAGGAAGTGTTAGACCTGGGGCATGACGCAAAAACCAGATGTGACTATCATCTGCTTCCCACTGTTTCATAGTTATTCCTTGTAAGTAGTGTTACATGGAATCATTCTACATCATCTTTCCTCAGCCCTGACTTGGCCCTTTGCTAGTTCTTGCTCCCATTTAGATATGCTCAGCACAGGGATGTTCAGAAGACCCTCCCCCAATAGCTGGGACAATTAATTTAGCTTTACATTCAGTAATGTGATCCCGAGTTTCCCTTATTATTTGACTGTACTATCCACTTTGTTTCTGCAAATCCTCCTTGGAAAATAGCCCAGCTCAAAAATAACAATTCCTGACACATAAAATTCTACTCAGAACAAAAACAGCAGCAGGCATGGATCATTAATTTGTTCAGCCAGTTTGTTGGAGTCTTAGTATCCACCTCCTTTTTGTCTTCCAATATATCCACACTAAAAATCCTTCATTAAATCAGTCGTATTTCTACTTCTCTTGAGTGGATCCAAGAAGAGATTGCTGTTTGGATGTAAATTTTTATCTTAATCTTTTCAGTATCTTAATGGCATAAATTGATGTCCATGAATGAATAGGCTAAAATCAACATATGGATTTTCATTCACAGTTCAAAAGAATCTAAGTGTGTGTTTCCAAAAGAGACTAATGCACTGGTCCCAGTATTTAATTTTCTCTTACATCCATATTAATAAGCATTCAATGGTTATTTTTAACTAATATACTCACTTCACTCTTAACCTACAGGATTTTAGTCATTTTTATCCTTGCGATGAGGATGAACCTATAGCATGACTGATTTTACTAGATAAGCCAAAATAAAAATCTATCTGAACCACTTTCTGCCTTTTTCCTCACCCCTAAATTACAGCCCTGGCTTGCATGTGAAGTGCCTTGAAGTACTGTACCTTTTTCCCCAGTGCAACAACTTAATTTACCAACATAGATAGTTTCCTGTCACTGATGAGACAGCTTATTCTGGAGCAAAATTTTTTGGCATCTTTTTCTTCCACATTCTCATTACCCAGCCTTTTTCATTCCTAATTAGAAACCCCGAGCTTGTAAGTGCAAAAAGTTCACCAAGCCTTTGTCTGGTGGTTCCTCATAAGCCTCAAGGATTATGGATTCCTACTCCTGCAGTGCTGGCATCCCGTCCCTGCAGCATTTAAAGGCTTTTTGTATCCCACTGATATTCCAGTCAGAGCTGGAGTTGGCCCAAACCTTAGCCAGAAGTGTGATTACTGTTTGTCCTACATTTCTACCATAGACCAGGTAATTTTAGGCCCCTGGACATGTTTCCAGGTCTGATCCCACTTAATCCTTGTGAAGAAAAACCTGCCTTCTCTTATACAAACCTGTTGTTTCTCTGGGATCTGTATCATTATGGCATTTACACAAGTTGTGCTGCTGCTCTGATCATCTACTATCTTTGTTGAATGTACCCCCTCACAGACTCAGATACTGGTCCTGCCTCCTGAGCCCTCGGATCTAGGCCTGACTACTAAGTATCGGTATCAAACCAGACATGACCACATGGTCTGTAAATGCCTCTCACTGAGCATTTCCTACGCAGCAACCATTGGAGGACTGACAACTATCATAGGGACCTCCACCAGCCTCATATTCTTAGAGCACTTCAACAAGTAAGTGATACTGTGATTTTGTGAGAATGGTGGGTGAGTCATTATCATCTCCGTGGCTTTCCCCATACCTCAAGGAACCCTCACAAAACAGTCTCTCTGAAGGAAAATTTGCTACCTCCTCTACTGTAATGCTATTACTAAAGGTTAAGGTTTGAAAGGGGGAGTTTAAGTTAACACATATCCGTGTCTTTCTCCCATGCAAAATAAAAATCCCTCAGCATGTAGTAACATTTAAGTTTTTCCTGCAGCTTCTTTTGATTTGACAAACTGATTAGCATGAAGGCAGCAGGTGCTCTGGAAAAGTAAACACTAAAGCCATGAAGACATAGCAAGGAAGATAAAGAAAAACTCACAAAAGAAGAATTGTCATATAATCAGCTTTGAGTTGTTCTCTGAATTCTCAGAAAGTGAGTTCTTGCAGTGATTCTAAAGGCATCACTAGTGGTACTTGGGCTGCTTAACATATAGTGTAAAACTAAACTAACTTAGAAATTTGGCCTTATGTATTTGCTTCAGAGAAGATGGGAAGCAGCTCTCTGAATATCTAAGTATTTCCTTTATTATATGCCTGGGAATCTCAAAGGCATGAATGTTTCAACGTCAGAAACATGAATGCTTTTCTGTCTGAAGACTGGTGGTACTTCTATCCATGGACCAATCTGCATCCAAGCAGACTGATCAGACCTGATTCTGATCATCTGCTACTGCCTCTACTGCCATGATATCCTTAATTTCTCTTTCTGAAATGGTGGTAGCAAAGTTCAGAAGTCAGTTCAGAAGTCATGCTTAATGCAAGGATTTGGATTTTACATAATTTCCAAAGATCTTACTTTTATGACAGTTGTATCAAATGCACACATCAAACATCTTTGCCAGAGCCCAGCAGAATGCAGTCACCATTTGTGTGGACATACACAGAGATTCTGGGTGTAATCATTCTAAAGTCTGCCAACACTAAAATGAGCTTTGATATAAACCATAGGTAGGGACAGAATTTCACTGCTGGTAGTAGTACTAGACAATCTAGACCATCTGGTATTAAAGGTTTGAAGTGCTCTATGGCTCATCTGTTGATCAGGGGAGGTCAATGATTGACATTTTTTGGCAATCGTTTTCACTATGCATATGTAATGAAGCTGTTGCAAAAGCATACTGATGGAATCTTTCTATCATGCCATGACAAATATAGATATATATATATGTGTGTGTAACTATGCACATTACAGATTCTTCTAGTATTCTAACTTCTTATGCATCCTCTTTTTTTCTCTACAGTCAATACCCAAATGCTGAAGTGGTGAATTTTGGAACCTGGTTTTTGTTCAGTTTCCCCATCTCCCTCATCATGTTGGTGCTGACTTGGTTCTGGATGCATTGGCTGTTCTTGGGTTGCAAGTGAGTGAGGTTTGTTCAAGATGCAAGGACTATGAAAGCGGGACATCTGCAGCTCCTCTAGAACATATCTCATAAAGTTGCTTTGACTGGCAAATGACAAAATTTAAGGCTCGATTTCCTTCTTCTTGCCAGAACAATTACCAGAGGAAATCTTACTGCTTAGCTGTGCTGCTTAGACAGCAGTGTACAGTATCGCTGCTTGAGAGTTAAGTGCCTGGGTACTGCTGATAGAAATCCTTATTAAGCATTCAACTGGTGGTTTTTTTTTTTTTTACTCTTATGACAATGAGGATTCCCTTGTGGATCAAAAATATTGTTAACAGGCCTTTTGGAAAAGCACAGCTTAAAAGATGGATAGAAAAACAACTGCTATTGAGCAAGCTACTTTTCAGATCTGTCCCCAGATCAATGAAATTAATGTAAGACCAGTTTAAATTAAATGTAAATATACTCCATATATGTTTCTCTTTAAAGTGGAAAGGACTCACAGCCTAAGAGACAAAAACGTTTAATACTAGTAAGTCCCTAAGCCCCAGAAGAAGAAAAAGGCTCAATTATCTAGTTCATTTGTACCACACATTGTCTTTACAGAGGTACTCAGCAAAGTTAATGAAAATTGCCTAAATGTGTGCATGTAAAGTGGATTAGTTAATCAGCATTAAATTGTGATGCAGACACGCTTACTCAGAATTAAAGTGACCTTAATTTGATTTAGTTTACTCTTAAAAGTAAACTGAACTGACATCACTATTTCACCTAAGACAATGAATAAATTGATAATGACTTCTGCTTGTTGCTGACCTTGACTAGATTTAAGAAGTAATTTAGAGGTGAATGGCTCCATGCCCCTCTCAGTCAGTCTCCTGAGTCCTGTAGTTCTAAATTAAAAGGCTAATAATAGTCCTCCCCCCTTTTTTTTCAATCTTGAGAAGAAACAGGCCCTAACATGACCCTCAATTACTTTAGTTTTTTTTAAAAAATGTATAATCGAAATTCCACATTGCATCCAAGACCTCATGCTGATTAATGTTGTTCTAAATAATACCAGAGACTGAAGTATTATCGACTTTTTGAGAAGTACTAGTTGATTCCAAGCCTCCTTAATCTCTGACTGCTATTCATTGCAGTTCATTAAAGAACATATTATGTTAGAAGCTGGGCTACAATACTCTGCCTTCACATCCTCCTAAGCCTGGAAATACTTGGAACATGTTGAAACAGCTGCCTAATGCTTGCGCATAAATGTTTAATCAATTCCTGTAATTTTCATGTTATTTTCCTAGGAAGCTCAGTGTTATCAACCTTACTTGGTCCAGCTGGAAAAAAACATGTCAGACTTGCTTTTAAAGATCTAGGCTAGGTCAAAAGCGGAAGAGAATGGACCCATCAAGTGATTTGTACCAACAAAGCAGAGCTAAGGGTAAAATCATTGCTATAGATCTGGCCACTACAAACCAGCTCTTCTCTTTCAGTCACTGCATTACTGCTGATGGATTTTACTGGAGTCTAACAGCAAGGTTTGCAAGGGAATTTAAAGTACTTATAGGTACAGGGCACTGATAACTGAGCTTAAAAAAAGTGCCCATGTGAAACAAAAACCCTGGTTAAGTCTTTTTGTTAAACAGACAGGGCCTGTCTAGAGCTTGAGCTATGCAAATTCCTTTGAGAATCTGACCTTAACCAGCTATGTAGAGAGAGACTGTAGTCCATGATTTGGCCACTGCTACAGCTTGGGTCTCTAGTGGGGTACCAAATAAGATATTAAAATAGCATGAACTATAAAAGCACCTATTAAGCATCTAAAAGAATTATAAAAATTGTGTTCCTGTGGTACTTCAAACACTGAAGTACCTACTGCTGTTGTTTCTTTTAGGCTGGTTTAGATCTCTGTATGACCAAAGATTTGTGGCTCAAAGCACAGTTAAGTAATACTATTGGAATGAATAAAAGGACAGTGTTAAAGTGAGCTTGCAAGTATCTTAATTTCAATTAGGAATGTCCATGCTTTGTTATAGGATGAAGGTAAACTGAATAAACTAACATTCATATAAACATATAGCAGGATGAATATATCCAGCTGTGAAATGTGGTTGTGTTTTTATGTCTCTGTCAGAACTATAGGCATTTCTTATCAGGATAAAACACCAGCCTGACTGCCTTAGCCTCTGTGGCAGAGGCAATATGACCCTCATCTGGCTGTGCCTGGTTTAGAAACAACTAGTATTAGCAGAAGCAGACAGGTCATGGAAGGCAATGGAATCCTAAGCACAGCTTTCCCTCATTATTTACTGTGAATCCTGAATATTCAAGTCAGATATGGTCTCAAAAGCCAGACCAGACCCCAGATATGTCAGATACCCCTGATCCAACTGGAAAGCACAGTTACCCTGTGAAAAATTTCTGTTGATAGCTGGCCTCTGTCACAGTCTTTCCATGTGATGATAGAAATCAGCCATGGCTTGGAGGTTTCTGGCACCAGAAATATCTGGCCACCACCAGCTCTTTGAGGAAGCCTCCACAAAGGGAGCCCAGCCATGGCTCAAGAAGGCTCAGTGATACCAGCCAGTATTAGTCAGAGCACCCTGGGGACCTTCCAACTATGTCTAGAATTGAATCTCAGAAGAACTTAAAACCAGAATAATCAAAGATCACACACAGTAATTTTCCTTCACATTGGCATCAGGCCTTGCCTCAGTCTTGACTCCCAGTCATCTCTGGTGCCAGAATTTTCAATTTACCTCATTGCTGGTTTTTTTTAATTACTTTTTTTTTTCCCCTTTTATGCCCTTGTCTAATTTTATTGTGCAATGTGCTTCAGTTTTAAGGAGACCTGTTCTGTGAGCAAAAAGAAGAAGACCAAACGGGAAGAAATGTCAGAGAGAAGAATTCAAGAAGAATATAAGAAACTGGGAAATGTTAGGTAAACCAGACCTGCCTTCCTCAGGAATTTGCCTCTCTAGGAAGAACCATCCTTAATTACTGCCCTCCATGTTGCATTTGGCTCATGTAGCTTATTCTAAAACTATCAACCAGTTTTCTTTACTTCCAGGAAAGAAACTAAATGCAAAAATGAACCAAAATCAAAGACTTTGTTACAAGCATGGGTGTATTTAATAGTTTATTTATTTCTGATGAAAAAGGAAATAAAAGGAAAGATTCAAGTTTATGCCAGAGTTCAAAGGTCATCTCAATCAAGGTTTGTCTCTACTTTTGAACTAAGTCATTAAAGGACCCCCCTTCTCAATTCAGGCACATACTTATTTTGGTGCATAGAAGTTCAGCAAAGGCTTTACCCAATGCCATGAGTTGTCTAGCCCTCACATCTGCCCATAATCTTTATGCATGATGGCAAGAAAAGTCTCTTGAAAAGGTTATTTCACAAGAGTTTCATTTTTTTAAAAGCGATAATCCATCATAAAATCCCTTCTTCCCAAAACATTTCTGTGCTGTTCAAATGAAATATTGGCAGGTAAACTTGTTGAATACATCGACCAGAAAATTGTTCAGACTGTGCCTAGATACGAAATCATACTTAATTTAAATCTATACTAAATTAAAAATCCTCACGTCACCTCAAGTATCCTCAAGCCACCTTGTGTGCACCATCTGTGCTAATTTACATTGTCATTTGCTCTTAGGCTTTCTACACTTGTAAAAAATGCAGAGAATGTGTTTACAGTGGAATGCTAATATGAGCTTTACCTTGTGAACACATTTAATCAGATAATAATGCAAATACAAAACAAGCATTTAGAAATATTTTCCTCCAGGTCTTGTCCATGAATGATGGAATTGCAAATATAGACGGGTATTTTTAGCCTGTTTTTTACTGGGTTTAAATGATTCCCAGTTGGGAGCCAAATCTAGAATTATTTAATTCAAACTAATCTTCCTTACTCTTTTCCATATTTTTTTTATCCTTTTTTGTAGCCAATTTCTGCTTTCCTACTTCTTCTGGAACTTGTCCTTGGGTTTTCAGACAAACCTTGGATTTAATTCCTAGTTTGTTTGTTGGGTTTTTTTTTTCTTTTATTTCTAGCTATCCTGAGATGGTGACTGGATTCTTCTTCATCCTGATGACCTTGCTTTGGTTTACTCGTGAGCCTGGCTTTGTACCAGGATGGTCATCTTTTTTTGAGAAGTGAGTAAAATTCCCTAAACAACTGCACAGGAATATGGCTTTGCTTCTGACTATCTACAATAATTTTTGGCCTTAAGACATCATCAGCCACTTTTAACAAGGTGGTGAAAAATGAAGTCTTTATTCAAAAATCAGGATTCTTGGTTTTTAAACTACATCTGTTCATATGGGGCAAATTCTATCCTTTCTTGCTATACAGAGTGAATTAAATAGAGGAAGTAAATTAAACACATTTCAAGAGTAAAAGAATAAGAGGGTTGGATTTTGAGCTTAAAACATTTTAGTGCATTCATAGAGAAGTTTCACTGAAATAGATTAAACTATAATTAAAATTAAAATATTTGACAAAAGTGCTTATCAAGAAAATCTCCATGAAATTAAATAGTACAGAGAATGGTGACTAGGTAAATAATTTTTCTTTTATTTTAAACAATATTGAAACAATTTACATTAAAAGTTACTACAACACACATTGCATACAAAAGAACAAGTGATTTGAACTTAAATTTTCTTTATATTTTTACTGTATAAAATTAACTTCCCAATCTAATTTTGACAAAAACCCAATTTCTAATACTGGGATTTTCTGAAGTTCACTAGAGTTAGGCACTCTTCAAAATACTTTTTCAGAAAGAATTTTAGACATTTAATTTCAAATCCATCTACAGTCCATTTCTAAAAGATCACTTGGATTTGTCTTTTCCCTAGAATGTATTTCTTGCTTCTAGTAAGAACACTATTTTTCTGCCCCTCAAAGTTAATAGATTTGTAAACCAAAAGGAATTTATTTTTTTCGTTTTCCCCACCTGAATGTTAAAAATTGTTGAGCAGTGATTGAAGTTGGCTACAAGAGTCAGTTTAATAAATAGGGGAAAAAATCCAATTTGTATCCTTGCTATGCAGACGTATTTTTCCGGTGGGCTGTTAGTATGACTTCAGAGGTGGAAATGAAACTGCACCTGCAAAAATTTGCTTGGAGCTATGTATCTTGTTTAGAAATGTTTCTGTTAATGTGTTTTCATAATAACCTCACTGTTTCTTTCCTAGGAAAGGTTACCGGACTGATGCCACTGTGTCTCTACTTCTTGGTTTTCTCCTTTTCCTGATTCCAGCAAAGAAGCCATGTTTTGGAAAAAGGGAAAAAGGTGAGGAGGATCCAGCAAGAAAGAAAGCTGGTACATTTTTCAGTGTCTTTAATGGCACTTTATGTTTCCTGTAAAGATTTCCAAGAAGAGACTTTTATGTTGGTAAGTCAGGGTTCAGTTTCTCCTCTGACACCAGCCCTTGATCTCCTTTTCCTTTGCTATATTTCATATTATCTCATTCAGAGGACGACAAACAAGTTTTGTATCTGAGACTGCCACCTATTCTGTGCTAGTGGAATTATTAAAATTTAGGACTGAGCTTTAGGAATGGTTCAGATGGAGTTTTATATTAAAGAACTATAATGCAAAATCAGCTGAAGATAAAGCCCCGGTAAAAAAATTGGTCATCACTTATACATCAGAAATCACTGATAATGCCATAAGATAAACATAAAAGAGGTCAGAAAGTGCCATATAATGTTCCAGTTTTGTCCAACGCTTCTCTCATAGTCTTCTTGATAATAATAATGATTGTTATTTCACATTCACATTTGGGTAGCACTCTGGTATTGATCAGCTTGATGTGCCACGTTTTCAGCAGCGCTGAAGCACTATTTTTCTATGAAAATAGAATTGTCTGTTAGAGTTTTATGTAGACATTACAAATGTATATAAAGATATATTTTTTATACTGTCATATATTATACAGGTTTTAGGAAAAAAATTACACTCTAACTCCTTCAAGAAAATACTCAGGTATCTAAAAAAAATAATGTTCTCAGGTAAAATCTAGGGGCATAAATGCACTTTATCAGGCTTCATGACCTACTTCATAGCCCTTCTTTGATAATATAATCCCATTGTAACACCACCTTTGTAGTCTACAGATATATGTACATACATATGTACAATAGAGCCCACAGTCCCTCAAAAATCTATGAAATGAAGCACAAGGGTTTATAACTATTCACATCAACAGAGTAGATGAGGAAGTCAGGACATTTGAAATTAATATGCTGTGTTTTCTGAGGCCAGGCTAATCAGAGAAATAGGCTAGGCACTGCTTCTTTGCCTTTCTCTCAGATAGTTCTCAAGATAACTTCCATGCACATTCAATTATTCCTACGAGTGTGAAAAATGTGAAGATCTTAGAAAAAGGGCAGTATAATACTGGTCACACATTTGCTTTATTTGATATAGGAGATGGTGAAAAGTCAACAGACATTAACACACTGGATCCCATCATTACCTGGAAGGACTTCCAGAAGACCATGCCCTGGGAGATTGTAGTGTTGGTTGGAGGAGGTTATGCCTTAGCAGCTGGATGCAAGGTACTGATTTAGATTTTTATCCTCCTTCCTAAAAGAATCATCAGCCTGGACTTTTGTCCCTTTGCACGCTCCCTAGTTTGGATTTACGATGTGGATAATTCCAAGTTTGTATTTAACCTAGTGTCTACTCCCTGCACGTAATGGACAGCTTATATCTAGCTAACAAAAAGCTGGTTAGAGCTCAAATAATTTGTGTAGGCATCCACCATTTCAGATGCTTCAGAATATTGAGATATTCATGTCATGTCTGCAGGACCAGCAGGCATGACACAGGATCTGAGGAACACCTCACACTTTCTCAACTAGCAGCTAACCAGAGAGAGGGGGAACATCTCAGCTCTCACTGGGTGCTCCTCTTTAGGCAACTGAGTGAAGCTCCTAGCGCTGAATGGACAAATCATACTTTAGGCCCTCCTGACTATATCTACACTGAGTATAATTCATAAATACACATTTAACTCTCCTATAGACTCCTACATGTAGACAACTACAAGAATGCGTATTAATTTCAAAATTAATTCCACCCAGAATGTGCAATCCTTCATCACCAATTTTCTATACTCCAGTTCACATGCCAAAGAAAGAGGGAAGATCAGCCTTGGTACATTTTTATTGTTATTAACTGCCAAATGTATCTCTTTCTTACTATTTATTAGGTGCTGAAGTGAAATCCAGATTACTGAACAAAAGCAAATACAGAAAGCATTGACCTTAACTTGGTTTATTTGTTGGAGGGATTCTCTGATGTAAACTGCCACAAAGAGAAGAATCTGTTTTACAAACATACCAAGTATTCAGCAATTCTTGTGCCTCTGTCCTTTCCCCAGACCTCTGGCCTCTCTACGTGGATTGGACGTCAAATGCTCTCCCTGAGCAGCCTTCCCTACTGGGCTGTAACCCTGCTGGCTTGCATTTTGGTATCCCTGGTAACAGAGTTTGTTAGTAATCCAGCAACTATAACCATCTTTCTGCCTATTTTATGCAGTATGGTGAGTTAAACAACGACATTTTAATCTGTTGTTCCTGAGAGGCTTGTGGGAATGTTTCAGGATGTCAGGGTGTCTACACTCTGTTCACATGAAACTCAGCCCCAGTTCCCAAGCTACTTTCCTGTAGTCTTTGGATTAGGAAAAATAATAAACTTGGGCAACCAAAAGCATATTTTAGGACCAAGGAATTTATTTAATACCTCTCAGAAAAAGTGAAAACTTAGCTCCTGTACTAAGGGTTCACAAGAAAAGGTGATGATGCAATCAAGAAGAGAGGTGAATTTCACATAAAACTTGAGATACTTTTATCAAGATTATTTTAAATGTCTTGTTCAAAAAAGGTCAGGATACTGTTGACAAAAGCAGAGGAAAGGGACACTAATTTCATTTTATACTGGAAAAGCAGTTACAGAAAACCATCTTATTTCTTTTCATTTATGTAATGTGAAGCTTTTCTTGCAAAGAAGTCAGGTCATTAATAATCTTTCCATATTGTAACAAGTTTAGGAGACTGTTCCAAAGCATGTGAACAGCTCTGAGATAATATGAAGATATGGTCAGATGAAAATAAGTAATTATGTTTGTGTGGCTTAGGAGTTCAGATTTACTTCTGCTCCATGCAGAAAGAGACTCTCCTAAAGAAAACTTTTATACCAGTAATCTACTTATAGTAGTCTAAACTGCCATCTTATGGCAGTCTCTCTTTTTTGATTGCAAAAGTAACCTAGAAACACTTCCCTCCCGGAAATGATGTTGGCTTTGCAAATACCCTCCTCTGATATAAAACTAGGCCAAATCAGTGTAAATAAAAATGCAAAAATTTCACCACTGCTGAAGACTGCAGCAGCAGAACAATTCTTTCAGCCCACTGTAAAGAACCTTCCATCATCACTGCCTTCTCATCACACAAGTTTGGGCCATGAACAACTAGTTTTTCTAATCACCATTCAGGAGGACTTTACAGAATGGTCTCAGTATATTTGGCAACTGAAAGAAGTAAGTTCTTGATGTTAGATGAAGACTGAAGTGTTAGATCCATAAGACACAATACTGAATGACACAGAGAGCAAGCGGAAGAACAAAGGTTGCCTATTAGTAGCAAATTCCATCTTGCCTCAGTGTGAAATGTTCCAAGAGAGATCCCTGGACCATGACCAGCTCCAAATTACAGCATTTCTCTAAAAAAAAGAAAAGTAACCAAGTAAAGATAGTTTCACACTTAAGTTTAGAATCTAGGGAGATGAGATTCATACAATCTTGACAGAGAGGGTCCCTTCATCCTAGCTGTCAGCAGGGGCTTTTATTGATTAGACGAAACACCTGTCTTTCTCTCTTCTTTCAGTCAGAAACCCTGCTTATCAACCCTTTATACACCCTGATTCCTGTCACCATGTGTATCTCATTTGCGGTGATGCTGCCAGTGGGTAATCCTCCAAATGCCATTGTCTTCAGTTATGGGCACTGCCAGATTAAAGATATGGTGAGTCTTGAGACTGGGTATATCCTCCCACGCTTCATGCAACTTCAACACCAGCCAATAACAATAATGATTATACTGGTGCTAATATAAAATAATATTGATCTGCAGTGCAACTGAGCTGCCAGGTTAAGTACATCCAAAAATCTGCTGTAGAATACATGCCTTTATCATTATTTTTTTAATGAATGTAATGGTCTAAAGAGCTTTAGGAGCATGCAATCCTAAATTGCATTGACCTGTTAAGACAAGCAAAGAAAGCAGGAGAAATTAGATTGTCAGACAGCTCCGCAGTAAGTCATGTATCACCTTGCTACGTGTGGTATAACTTCCCACTCTGATTATCTGATTGAGAAGTTCAAGTGACAAACTGAGTAGTTTTCCAACGAAATTTCCAACAATCCATCTCTGACTATCACTCCTGAATACTCACACAATCTATACCCTGATACATAGTATTCATTGGGCTTTTTTTGGCTCTAGATATCAGAACTTATCAGGCTAGATATGTCAGTATAGATCCTACTATTTTTTTTTTCTATGTTAACTGGTTTTGATTAAGTTGTCATTGTGCTCTGATGCATTTTGCTTTTGCAGGTGAAAGCTGGCCTAGGTGTAAATCTGATTGGCCTGGCTGTTGTCATGGTGGCAATCAACACCTGGGGAATTAGACTCTTCCAGCTGAATTCCTTTCCAGAATGGGCAGTGATCAGTAACATCACTAGCCAAACATAATCTTCAATTAAAAAAAAAAGAAAAAATAAAAAACAAAAAGGGCAAGACCAAAGTCAGTTGGAACGAAATATTAAACCTACATTGCACATATGAAAGAAAGAAAAAACTTGTGTAAACATAGAACCGGGATCCATAGGAAAACCATGAAGAAAATCCACAGGGATGTCTTCTGCAAAAACTGTTCAGTTCTGAAAATCAGTGTGACTTAAAAGGAGAGATTAACTTCGCTCTATCGTTGCTTTCCCTGGGATACCACAACTCAGAAAAAAAATCACCTCCTTTGAATTATCTGCCTACAGCTTTTTCATACCTTAGAACAATTATGCAGGACTTGTATACAGGACTCAAATAGTGGAAAACAAGTACACATACACTGGTGTACTCAGCAGTGGGATGCTCAGTCCTACAACTGACTTCTACAGTGAATGCAGGGGGAGCCTTACTCCCAAACACAAGGTTTTATAAGCCTACTTCTTTAAAGGCAAATTATTCTTCTTTTGAGGTGACCCATCACTGTGGTGTAAAAATCCATTTTCCTGCCTAACTCATATGACCTGGACCAAAATACAACTACCAACTACCAGCTACAGCTCTTCAAAGGCATAACAGAAACCTCCAGAGAGGAAGGAGAATTCTCCTTGGAAGCAGATTATTTTTTTCCCACAGCACCAGTATAAATTTCCAATACTGCAGTATTTGCAATCTCTGCTTTGAAAGGAAGAGTTTCAGAAACAGAAAGCCTTTTTTTATCATTATTGAAGTGGGAGTTCTTTCAGCAGGTAAAGCTATAACCAGCAAAGCCTTACCAGGCCAAGACACCCACAGCTCTCCTCTGTCTTTGCTGCTGTTTCAACATGCAGTTACAATTCCCCTGACAGAGACAGGA